ATTTTGGAAAACACTACTGAGGCTCCTTGCTTCCCTTCAGAAAATATACATTTTAACCAACTTACATGACATTCTATGTTATGTTGATTTTATGATATGAAAGTTTATAGTGCATTTCATCAATTAATAAATAAATGTGAAAATCGTAATTTTCAACACAAATAATAGTCTCGCTACCTTAATTACTAGTATGTAACAATGTATTCTGTTTCCTCTCAGCTTTCTGGCATCTTGGCATCTTCTTCACCAGTTGGCATGGCAACAACTCAGACATTAACTTCTTTGGTTACAGGAAGTGCCAATTTTACTGTAGCAGCACCTGTACAACATCTAGATGAACCAAAATTACAACTTACAAGGTAGGTTTTATTAGATCTTTAAATTGAAAGATTTAGGATTGCTTCATCTGTTCATGATATTCAGTATTTTAATCATGATGAAGATTTATAAAGAAATATAGCTTCAAGCAGCAATGTGGGCATATCAAGTCATATGATCTGTTTTAGCTCTGCTGTTGACTTTGTCGAGCGGAGCTTATCATATGAGGGATTGTCCGTCGTCGTCCGTGTCAATGTTTTACTTTTTCAACTTCTTCTTGAAAACTATAAGCCTGAATGCTTTGATACTTGGTATATATGTACCTTGGGTAGATATGTACCTTGGGTAGATCTCTCTTAGATTTGTTGATTTCATGATGATATCTTCAATTCTCTAATTTTGATGAATATTATTGTCATTTTTGGTAAAAAATGATATTTTCGACTTCTTGTTGAAAACCGCAAGTCCAATTGCTTTGATATTACATATATAGGTACTACATTTGGAACTCTCTCAGATTTGTTCATTTTGAAATGATATCTTTAATTCTCTAATTTTGGTGAATATTTTTGTCATTTTTGGTAAAAAGTGATATTTTCGACTTCTTGTTAAAAACCACAAGTCAGATTGCTTTTATATTACATATATAGGTACTACATGTGGACCTCTCTCAGATTTGTTAATTTTGTGGTGATATCTTCAATTATCTAATTTTTATGATCATTTTTGGCATTTTTGGTGAAAAGTGATATTTTTAAATTCTTGTTGAAAACAGCAAGTCTACATATTGTTCATTTTCTAATGATATCTTCTGTTCTTTAATTGAAATGTGCATTGCTAACAGTGCATGTCTGCAATTTGAAGCTTCGGCGGCGGTACATTAGTTTTAAATTTCTCCTCCAATAAACGATCAAGGCTCTCAACTTAGTTTCATACTTCAATTTGCGGCACATGTTATTTCAGTGAAAGGGCACATTAAGTGGTGGCACTGTAAAGAACGTTATTTTACAGAATTATTGATCAAAGTGCATTATTCCTATTATGGAAATATCCGTATCACGTCGATGTATAT